AAGGTAATGGCGGGATTTGAACCCATTCCAACTAACATGTTCAAACCCAACCCAATCATGCCGAACAAAACTGACCTCTTTAGTGGTTATCCAATTTTATATCTATTACCTTAAAATATCAAAGAAACCTAATTTTTAGGAATAATCTTTGTCAATCTTCAACCCTTGAAAAAGTAGACATCCTCCTTCCTCTAATGAGAAAAATCCCTGGTGGAAATCTCATTTTAGTCTACTTGAAAGACTCCTTGATTGGAGGAGACTTTTTATGTAAAAAACGTCTCATAGCATAGTTACCGCGCCTGAGTCATGTGTCCATGTAATTAGCACTAATAATTATCTTTGACTGAGTTGCTATCACATGTCCTATATTAGTTGCATAGTTAGTTATTGGGTTCCTTAATTTAGGAGTCTTACTTGGGAAAATGTTACATGATCTCCATGGTTAACCAAATTTTATCAAATTTTAGATTTTCAATCAACGTGGATCATAGGCTAAGTAGATCCCACAAACTTTCACCAATTATGCAATTACTATCAATGAGTCACATTATTTGAGATCTAAAATTTGATAAAAAATTTTGGTAAACACGTATTTCCCATGGCCAACATCGAATTTTCCCTCCCGGGACAAGAAGTTGATCCATCTTTTGCACTATACTCAATTCATTTGTTATTTGTTTTAGTCGATTGTAAATGGAGTGTCACCTTTATGAACCTAATATAGTTTGTAGTCCATAGATGACCATGGCCAACGTACTTCTTCAAAAGACCTCCTAAAACAGATGGCTGATTGGGTACAGCAGCCATACGGTTGAGATACCATGAATGAAGCTCCACGGCCATTCGGCAATTGTATAATATGGATGATCAAATCTTCAAAAATACACGTAGAAGATGCCATGGGAGAGTTCGCCATATGTCACCTTCAAGGTTTAAGGGGAAGAATCCACATGCCTACCCTCTCATAAAATACTCACTGATACTGTCTCAGTAGCTGGGCATATTACTATCAGAAGCTGCCTACTTGGTTCTCCATTAACAAGACACTTGAAGTTGAAACTCAACGTCATGACACTAAAGACTTCCATGTCTTATTCCAATTTCTACCTCAGATTGATTCGTTCAAACACCGATTTCAATGCTAAGAACATATACCAACAACTATTGCTTTACTTTTTAAACAATTCAATGGGCACTTCTTTTGTCTTTGATGAGCGGCTCAATGTGCAAGAGATTTTATCGTTTCTAAGTTTAGATAAAATTATACGGCTGCACCTTTAATATGCAGAGGTGGTTTTCGCAATTCAAAAAATTGAAGCCCACATCACAATGAAGTGATCTTACCATTATAATAAGGTTTGCGCTCATTTTTATTTTCTATCAAATTATACTTAGATGCCTTAAACTATGCCTCTTGTGCCACGTTTTCCCAATCATGGACTTTTGTGTGATCTTTTACCACAAAATAAGGCAAAAATCAGATCCCATAATGTTTTGAGATCTTATCTTTCTCTCTTTTCCTGAGCAAAATTCCATTTTTGCCTCGACTTATCGAGAAAAATTGGACAGAAGTGAACAATTGAGGTAATGTGAAACACAAAACCAATAATTGTAAGTTACAGTGTTAGAACATAGATAGTTTAGGAGAAATGTGAAATGAGAGATATACTTTAAAGGGTCGACTAAGCATAATTTGCTTCTTCTTTTTTTTGTCTCTAATGTTTGTCTGTTAATTGAAATGTTGCAAGGAGAAAGATTCTATTCAGCGGTTGTTGCATTGAATATTTACTCATGCAACCACACACAAGAAGCCAAACCAATAAATAAAGCAGCACAATTTCCGGCCCATCCGAACGAAAAAAATCATAACTGCCGCATGCTGAAATGTGTAGAAAACCCATTAACGTCCACGATAACAACTAATGCATTAACAATGAAAATATCGAAGCAATGGCGTTGATCCTACGTTGGATAAGCCAATTGCTTCTGTTTGTCTATATCGTTGGCATGAGATCCATGCATGAACATTGGATGTTTTTGGTTCCTTAAATTTAAAGTAATTCCCTCAACTTTGTTTAATCGACATGCTAGAATAAAGCTGTTTACACCTTTTGCAGCGGCATATTCTACTTTGATATATACATAAAACATTTTCGTGGTCTTCCAAAGTGAATGCAAAGTTGTCTGAAACCTTTGTAATTGTTTGATTACTGTCCTATAAATTCGTGGAAAATCTTCTCGACATTCTCTTTGTACAATTATTCGTTCCGTATTGTATTTGGTGTGGTTCTATTCGATTTTTTTTCTCGATCTTGGCGTTTCTAAATCAAAAATGTCAATTCCTAACAATGAGTTCAGGTATTATCATTATGATTCACCAATTAGAAGAACTTAACTTTAGATACGGATCTACATTGGTTATCCCAAACATATAATACAAAAAACACATTGATTTTTGTGATGTTATATTAAGCTTTCTTGTAACTAACATGCATGAATTGATTCGAATGATAGACTGCAGAGACCACAAGACTACAAAGACATAACTTCAAGCATTAACTTACTAAAAAACTGCACGTGTACCATAAGACGGCAAGAACTCCCTTGGACGGATGTGGCACTCAGTGGTCTGTCCTATGTAACCTATGAGGTGATTTATGGAGTCTAAATAACCAAGTCAGCATCATTATTTTGCTCGTTTGGATTGCCATGCATCGTAATGTGCCGTGTTGCTTAGGGTTCATATTATGTTTATGGCGTGTAAGTTTACTCGGTTCATATCCGGTTCATTTATATTAGAGTTTAATTGGGTTCATATTATATTATAGATTTTTGTTGTGTATATATTTTATCTAGACAATTCGTCTTGTGCATATTTCTTTGGGCTCATATCGACTCATTTTTTTGACAAGTTTAGTGGATCCATTTGTTTACAACCCCAGCTAATTTTAACCCAACAATTCACGTTGATTTCATAAGGAAAATGCAAGCCTGTGTGCAGAATTGTCAGGCCTACAAAAAAGTTAACCTCTCGAACTTCTCAAAGGATGTTAGATGTAGGCGCATCAGTTGTGTCAAAACACTTTTTGAACTACTCTAATAAGACTCTCTAATCTAGTAGAAGAATATCTTCCATAATCAAAATATTTAATGAAAAATTAGTGTGATTTTTTTTATTCATTAATGATAAAATAGATGGTGAGTTTTCTTCAAATATAGAGTCGAATTGGACCCTCTATTTTAGTTAATCTAAATGGAGAGTCTATGGAGGATGAATTTTTAAGTGTTGATTCTCCAAAATAGAGAATTGATTGAGAATAGNGTGTGATTTTTTTTATTCATTAATGATAAAATAGATGGTGAGTTTTCTTCAAATATAAAGTCGAATTGGACTCTCTATTTTAATTAATCTAAATGGAGAGTCTATGGAGGATGAATTTTTAAGTGTTGATTCTCCAAAATAGAGAATTGATTGAGAATAGATAGTCTATTGAAGATATCTTAGTATTTGTATTACCATTGAAATTTTGAAAAATAATTAGATTCCACAGTATAATTATTATTATTTAATTAATTACTTTTTTTAGCTGACCTAATTGATTCGAACCACAAAAAAATATGATGGTACATAATAGACATTTTAGATACTAAAAGAAGAACATGTATGATTGCCGTTTTCATTGAATTCAAGATAAAATAATGAAAGAAGCATCGAACCGCCTCTTGTCATGGATTGCTTGGAAATAAATTCATTAAATTGGAAAGATGGGTAAACCTAAAAAATTGCAAAAGATGTGACAAATTCCAAGAAGAGTAAAAACTATCATAACAAGTGTGTAAAGTATTAAATTCCGTCTGAAAAACATAATATCAAAAAGAGATAGAGGATTCAAAGTACAAAACTTGCTATTATAGGATCTGAAGAGCACATTCATAATTTCTATAACTTGAATCCATGACGATCAATCCTTAATTACATGAGTCTCTATTCGATTTTCCTTTTAGATGTGAAATGACCTGTTTCCGTAAATTTGTAGACTGTTGATAAAGAATTTGTATGCATTTTTTGTTTTTTCTACTCTAGAAAACACAAAGAAATTTCCTTTCCCTTTTTTGTGTTTGTTTAGGTAGAAATGAACCAACATTCAAAAACAATGACCTGTGACACATGAGAAAGTTGAAAAACAAAACAGGAATTTTTGGTGTGGCAAAAGCATCTAGAAGGAGTTCTGTGCATGTGGACAAACTTTTCTGAAGACGGTAGGTTTGATTCCCTCTTTTTTTCTCGCTTTTCTTTGTCCACTGCAAATGGCATCTTTGTACCCGCCGAACCGAACTACCGCATGACACACAAACCACAAAACCATTTTATAGTTTTCTAATCATCCCTGTATTGGAACGAACAATCTAACAGTTTCTTGACCTTGAACACTGATTTTGAAGACCCAAAAGATACCCATCTCTTATCTTTCCTTTTCATCAATTATATAAATGTATGGAGAGGGGAAAGAGAGAGAGAACTTTATTCCTTTCTCAGGTCTCCTTTGCCTTTTGGTCCTATTCCCATGTGAAGACACAAAAGAATTTTCCTGGATTATGCCTATTCTACCTTTCTCTTTAAAGCCTAACCGTAATCTCCTAAGTCCTATCTCCTTTTCCATATACACAGCATCTCTCTCTCTCTCTCCCTGCGTTTGTGTCTGAGATGGAAGGTACAGATGAGGAGGAGCTTCTAAGTCTGAGGCTTGCAATTGTAACGGATACAAGTTTTGAGAGGAAGAGAAAAAGAAAGAGAATGGAAGCCTTCAACACTTTGAATATGAATGAAAGCTGCGAAGGAAAAATATTCGGTCTCCTTCAAATGAGGGAACAAATGTTAAAACTAGACCACAGAAGGAAAAAGCCAGTTGAAGATGGAAAGGGTCTTCATTTGATCCATTTGTTGCTCATATCCGCAACCTCAGTCGACGAGAACAACGTCAATTTAGCAGTTGAAAANAATGAGGGAACAAATGTTAAAACTAGACCACAGAAGGAAAAAGCCAGTTGAAGATGGAAAGGGTCTTCATTTGATCCACTTGTTGCTCATATCCGCAACCTCAGTCGACGAGAACAACATCAATTTAGCAGTTGAAAATCTCAATGAGTTGTACCAAAACGTATCATTAACTGGTGACTCAGTACAACGAGTCGCAGCCTATTTTGCAGATGGATTGGTGGCAAGAATTCTCACTCGAAAATCGCCATTTTACGACATGATAATGAAGGAGCCAACACCTGAAGAAGAGTTCTTAGCTTTTACTGAAATGTATAGGGTGTCTCCATATTATCAATTCGCTCATTTCACCGCCAATCAAGCTATTCTCGAGGCCTTTGAAACCGAGGAAGAAAACAACAATAGGGCATTGCATATTATCGACTTTGACGTCTCCTATGGCCTCCAATGGCCTTCCCTTATGCAGTCTCTTTCCGAGAAGGCAACTAGTGGCAATCGGATATCGCTGCGAATAACGTGCTTTGGAAGAAGCATGGAAGACCTACAAGAAACTGAGAAGAGACTCTTGAGCTTTGCAAAAGGTTTTCATAACTTGGTTTTTGATTTCCAAGGGTTGTTGAGAGGTTCCAAACTCGTAAACCCGAGGAAAAAGAAGAATGAAACAGTCGCCGTAAATTTAGTTTTTCATCTAACTACTTTGAATAATTTTTCAAAGATATCCGAGACGTTGAAATCTGTACATTCTCTTAACCCTTCGATTGTGATATTGGTGGAACAAGAAGGTAGCAGAAGCCCTCGAAGCTTTTTGTCAAGATTTATGGAATCTTTGCACTATTTTGCGGCGATGTTTGATTCACTGGATGATTGTCTCCCACTCAATAGCACAGAAAGGTTGAGTATCGAGAAAAATCATCTAGGAAAAGAGATCAAAAGCTTTATGAGCTATGACAAGGATGATATGAACTGCCCAAGATATGAGAGGATGGAAACATGGAAGGGAAGGATGGAGGGTCATGGATTTGGAGGAGTTAAACTAAGTTCCAAGACTCTGTTACAAGCAAAACTTCTTTTGAAAATCAAAAGTCACTGTTGTCCCATTCAATTGGATGGAGAGAATGGTGGGTTCAAAATTTCCGAAAGAGATGATGGCAGAGCTATTTCTCTGGGGTGGCAGGATAGGTGTCTGATAACAGCCTCTGCATGGCATTGTGTATGATAGATATTCTTTTAACACATTCATCGTTTTTGTTGTCTCAATAGGAACTATAATCAGCATATATATTGAGATAGTATAATCTAATTTCATGTTACTTACCAAAAAAAAAAAATCTAATTTCATGNACATTCATCGTTTTTGTTGTCTCAATAGGAACTATAATCAGCATATATATTGAGATAATATAATCTAATTTCATGTTACTTACCAAAAAAAAAAAATCTAATTTCATGTTTTTGTATCAGTAGGGTTTGCTATGATATTTCTTCTTGTTCATGTAAACAAACAGCATCCTCAACAGACGATTTTTTGATGTATTCCTCTATGTAACATTAAGCACTAGTCTTTGCTTGAATATTATTCCTATTGAGCAGTCAAACTATCTTGGTCTCCATCATATTCCTTTCTCATTTGTTTCTTTACCTGTAATTGTCAATACTTTTAGATCGAAGAGTTAATTACATTTTGTCCCGTGAAACCATGAAGTTTGTGTCGCTTTGCCCCCTCAATTATCATCTGTCCACCTTGTACCTTTAATTATAGTTAGAATAAATTACATTCAAAACATTTGAAGTTTATCCATAAATCACACAATCTCCCTCAACTATGGAAAATAACACAGAATTCCGTTGAGATTTGATTATGTGTGTAACATATAGCNATTACATTTTGTCCCGTGAAACCATGAAGTTTGTGTCGCTTTGCCCCCTCAATTATCATCTGTCCACCTTGTACCTTTAATTATAGTTAGAATAAATTACATTCAAAACATTTGAAGTTTATCCATAAATCACACAATCTCCCTCAACTATGAAAAATAACACAGAATTCCGTTGAGATTTGATTATGTTTGTAACATATACCCCTATCCACGGGAAAAATCATCAAATTTGATTGACATAAGCATATTTCTATCATAAAATCCCTAACTTACCCTTGCAGGACCCACAACCATACCAAATATATAGTCTCCATCTGTCTATTCAAAGAATTCCACAGCTCCGCTGGCACACACCATTATCCATCACCACCAACACAACCACCACCCAGCCAAATGTACCACCTGTGCAACACCCAAGCCACCACCAGAATCGATAACATGCANCCCTAACTTACCCTTGCAGGACCCACAACCATACCAAATATATAGTCTCCATCTGTCGATTCAAAGAATTCCACAGCTCCGCTGGCACACACCACTATCCATCACCACCAACACAACCACCAGCCAGCCAAATGTACCACCTGTGCAACACCCAAGCCACCACCAAAATCGATAACATGCACCTAAACTACCACCTCCCACAAAACCACCATCGCACCCCATCTCCAAACCCACCACTACCGTCTTTCCACCTCCCCCCCCCCCTCCGTCAATCAATGTTATCAAAACTGGACCATTGTGGGTATAATATTTTAAATGTGAATGGGTCTAGGTGATTAGGTGATAAATATGAGGGAATTTAGGTGTAATTTATCTATTTAATTTTAGACGGTCATTAACTTCAAGTGTACATTGAGGCAAATTAATATATTTGAAAGTGCAAATTAAGATTTTTTATCTTTGAGAGTGTAAATTGATATTCAAAAAATCTTTCAAGGTATAATTTGTGATTAACCCAGCGATTTATAGTGATATATATTCTATATTTTTGTTTTTATTATGTTTATTTTAAACTCATCTATTAAGTAGGTTTGATAATTTCACTCATTTATTATTAAAACTGTTAAAATTTATTCAAATTTATTAATTATATGTCGATTTTATATCATGTTCCCAATAAAATTCAGAGACATATTATATAGGCCTATTACTTTGTCAAATGGCATTCTTGACCCATGTTTTCTTTTAAAAAATTTGTATAGTTAATCTTGAAAAAATAACATTTTATAATTAGAATTAATTTTCACAAAATAAATGAAGACTTTGTCACGAAATCGATACTTGTGTACATCAAAAGACAATGATGGAGAAATATAACTTAGAATTAATTTATTATAGATAATTTTTTATACTTAAAAGATTGTTATATTCCACTGAAAAAAGTTAGTTTATCTGATTTTTATTCTGATTTCATTTTGAATAAATAAAAATTGATTTTATTGTTATATTCCACTTAAATCTTAATATATTGTGTCATGCTTGAATTTAATTTTATTTTCAGTTGATGTATCCAAATATATATGTTATTTCTTGTTCACAAGAACATTGGCAGGCCTGTTCATTACTTTGTCAAGTATTATCCTTGATGCATCAACATAGAAAATATCATCCTAGGAGTACTAAGCAAATACAACCAAACCTTATAGGGCCTGTTTGGATCGTCGGCTAAAAAGGGACATCCACCAGTTGGATAGGGAGAAAAAGCAAGTGGAGCTCAAAAAACAAATGGTTATAAAAAGTTACTCTGATATATATGTTAACCATGGATCCCATGAAGGTCTGTCCTGGCTATCCCAACACAGGCTTGGATTGGAATAACTCCCAAAATCCTTACCAATGCTTCCGGCACATGTGGATGGGTTGGACTGGAAAGGACAAAAAATTGTTAACTTATCCAATCCACTCCAAGCATCCAAACACCCCCTATGTCTGCTCCAACAGGATCTAAGCTCTTATTAGGCCCAGTGCTGTGTGTTTAAGGGCTTACAATAGTGCAAACCAAAAAAAAAAAACTTGCCATTGTATGCTATCGTGTTCACTCTGTTATACAACATGTTCAACTTAATAAGATTACTTCTTGCCGATTAGGATGCCTTTTAAGTTTTTTTAAGCGAGGTAAAGTATAGTTCAGTGCATAAGGTTTTTGCTATTGTATTGTTTAAACCAAGAGTACTTAAAAGCTTTGAGAAAACAAGTTAGCGAAATCGACGAACATCATACAAAAAGCATACACCATTCTACATTTAAGGGAGCAATGGATGTCCGTGAACTGCCATTTATGAGAGCGACTTAAAGGTTATTCCATCGTGATTTGAGAGGTACGAGCTGAAGTTGTGAAAACAATTTGCCAGCATGCACAGTAAGACAATGTACAATTAACTCTTCTTAGATTCCATAATGACAAGAGTCTCATAAACTAATTTTTTTTTTTTTTTTTACTTAGAACACTTCAAAGCAAAGTTAATTTGACTGTGGTTATCATAAGAAACATTATATTTTGATTTACAATCATAAGCATCATAATTGGTATAAACAATAATGTTGGACTAGACATACGAGATGAGGTAAGATGATTTAAATTTTGCTTTGAGTTAACTACCTATTTAACTCCTGAATTATATTATTATTTGTGTCAATCAAGTCTATGAAATATATTTTGTATCAATTTAGCCCTTGAACCAATGCAATCTCACTCAATGTGGTATTTCCGTTCAAATTCGCCGTTAACTTTGACAAAAATCCTCACGCGTACATCACGTGACCCTTGAACTATAATTTAATCTCTGATTCACCTGAAATATAACTTAACTGACGAATTTTGACGAAAGAGTCACATTGCATATTTTAGTGATCAAATTGACATAAAACATAGTTTAGAAGCTTAATTTAGACAAACGATACAGTTCAAGAGCCAAATAATCAGTTAACTCTTTTGTTTTTTGTAATTGCAATGGTGAATGACAAAAGAGCTAGCAGGCCCCAACACTCATTTACAGATGCATTGGCACTATGTTTGTTGTTCCAGTATTAGTAGATGCAATTCCAATAATTTTGTTTGCTTCAATCTCAGCTTCGTCAATTCCAATGGCAGGCCTTTTGAAGATTTTAAACACTGTCCCAATCGGAATGCAGTTGTTACGGGAGGTTGTGACTCAAAGGGATCTCCAGTTTAAATGAATCGACTGGTATCTTGTCACACATGGGTTCTTTCTTGATGCTTCATTGGAATCGATAAAAACTAGAATACTAATGTAAAATAACAGCAAAATGAGTTTGTGGGTACCTCTTCCGATACCAAAAGTTTTATCCTCATGAAACTCTTGCTTCTCTCTGGGATATTATAGGTATCATATGATGAGATATCAATCTTTAGGAAGCACTCACCATAGACACTGAGATCCTATAAGCAAACAAACATAAACAAACCTCAAGTCTGCTTCAAGAGGATCTAACCTAGCGATGCATCCAAGAGTACTTAGAAAGTGACCAGAACTCACTTAGACCAGTAATAAATTTTGTTTTAATTTGGTAAATTTACCCTACTATTGACCGCAACTCTTTTTTTTGGCTAATGGCGAAGTATGGAATGGAAAAGACAATAATCAGGATCACTGAATAATTGGAAGCCAAAGGAGGAAACCGAAGGATCATTGATTACCAGGCCATACTTGTCGAATCTTCTCGTGCCGGGGTGATTTGTTTGGGGAAGCCGGTAGTCAGAGGCCCTCCATTATTATTGACGAGATTTATAGAAATTCAACAATAATAGTTGATTGGATGATTATGAAATTAAGTTCAATGAACATTATTTTATAATTTGAAAACACGCCTAGGGGTGGGGACTCGAACTCTCTACCATGGTGTCTTTACTGACCTGAGTTTTCTTGTTAGTATTGAGGTGATAAAATACAAAAGCCTTGGTATATTAAAGAAGCAATTCCAGAGTGCAAAGGTATTCAAATAAATTCCTAAGCAACTGTTCAGACTTAACAATACAAGACCATTTGACAGCAAATTGAGACAATACAGATCAAGAATAACATGATACATATAGGCACTTGAAACCGAGAATTTGAAAAATAAATTTGTTTGAGTTTTATTATTAAATTGACTTATAATAAGGTATGTTAGTGAAATATTAATACAACATGTAGTGGGGAAGTGAATTATGTTAGTGGTGAGTTAATTCTCTTTGTACCGGAGAAAGTGAGTCTTAATATTACTAGTTAATGCTCACGTGTGTCGCACGTAAATCATTTTCAGTTATAATTTTTGAATTAATTTTTAAAATTAAAATGAAAGAGTAAATTGATAAAATCCACCCACAACAATGCATGTTGGTAGGCCAAGCCCAATGTTTGCGGATAAGGATAAAAGAGCAAAATTTCTCAATGTGCATTTTCTAAGTACAAAATCAGAAAACCATTTAGTTAGCCTAAGATGTGAATCACATAATTTTCCAAGAGGGGGGGGGATTCAAAATAATGTGAAACCTCAATTACCTATTAGAAATAACTCAATTACGTGTTATATCTCTATGTGTCAACATAAGAACATTTTTTTGAACAAATTTACAAGATATTATAATGAATAATTCATTAAATTATGGAGCATTTTAAGGACTACTTTAAAAGCTAAAGGGACACAACTCACCAAGCTTATAAAGTGAAAAACACCTTTTATCATTATTCCTGAGAAGTAAACTCCAAAAGAACTCACGATTGTATCTAATATTTCTTCCTCCCTTGATCTCGAATCAATTCATGGCTTCACTAATTAAATACTGTGCCAAAATGAAGCTACATAAAAAAGGAAAAGTACATTTAACAGGTCAATTTGAGTAGTATATGCTAGAAAGGGGGAAAATAGTAACAAAGTAGCATGGACCAAAGAAAAAAAGAGAAAGATAAAATGCAAGAATATTTTTAGTGCTTAAAATCTTAATGACTATCACGTGGTTAGAAATGAAGTATACTTTTTTCCTTTTCTTTTTAGTATTATCATACTTTTTCAAGCATGTGATTTCGAAACTTCTGCTAGAAAAGTAAATTTGACTTGTATTTTAACCAAGGGAATGTGTCTTCCATACTTTGTCATATTATCCAACCAAACTAATAGTATTGCATATCATCCCAACTCTAAAAATAATAATCTGCATAGACCCATTAAATTTTAATCGGCATAGGTAATTGATACCTATTCATTCTTATTGATACCATCGTAAAGCCTTTGATTCCCCAAATTTGAAATAAAATCAAAAATCAAGTAGGGCAAAGAATAAAAAAAAAATAAAGCTTTAGTAGATTGTTATCGAGAAATACCAGATTTTGAACAACAGTGTCGTTCTTAAGGCAACCTAAAACACATAATATAAAGGTGAAGAAAAAGTAACATGTCATTTACATCATCCAATTTCAGGCAAGTTCTAATGCTTCAATTGAATCTTTAGAGTTAGATAATCAAATTTTCAAATTTTAAAAATATAAAGTTTGATCTAAAAATTAAGAATTGATATGAAGAAATTAGATTATGAAAATTTCGAAGAATAATTAAAATTCAGTGAGTACCTTTGAGATCTATGATTTTTTAGGATGGTTTTGTGTTCAATACAATATT